GTTCTCAAAGATACAAAAAAGTTCTAAGTATTCGAAAAAGATCCCACTCCTCAACTAAAAACTAAACTAAACACGATAATTAAGAAAATAAAAAAGCACATCACTGACGACAAACTTCCATCACTTATAGGCGAATACTCTCCTGGCTACTTATATGGGAATATAAAAACGCATAAGAATAATCATCCCATCCGTCCAATTATTAGCAAAATTAGCAAAATTACAACCGTCACATACCCTGTTGCAAAATTCTTGAACAAAATTCTAACCCAATATATTCCAAACAATTACACACTACAATCTTCCTGTGAGTATATTAATCTCCTCAGCGTTAATAAACCATCCAAATTTATTGCCTCTCTGGATGTTGAATCATTATTCACAAATGTACCAATTCATGATACAATTGACATAATTATCAACACCGTTTACCACTCAGATATGGTTCCAGTGAGCATATCGAAAGCACAACTGAAGTCTCTTTTTCAAATTTGCACTACCGAAGCACCATTCCACAGCCCCACAGGCAAACTTTACAAGCAAATCGATGGTGTCGCTATGGGTTCTCCACTTGGCGTCCTATTTGCCAGTTTCTTCTTAGGACATATGGAGAATGAGACCTTCAAAAACAATGCAAGTTTAAAACCAAATATCTACGCTAGATACGTTGATGATATCTTTGTCTCCTATAACGATCCTGAACAAATCACCCAACTTCTTGGTACCTTAAACAAATCAAAACTAAGATTTACCATTGAAATTGAAAAGGAACAACGTTTCCTTGATGTGTTGGTCACCCGTGGCGAAGAACGATTCAAGACTTTGGTCTATGTCAAAGAAACAAATACAGGAATTTGTTTGAATGGACAAAGTGAATGTACCGAACAATTTAAAGACAGCACAATAAAATCATTTGTAAACCGGGCATTCACACACTTTTCCGATATTGAAAATCGCGACGCCGAATTAAAAAGAGTCACTAACCTGCTTGTAAACAATGGATATAAGACTTATTCTATTGAAAAGGTTGTTAAAGGCAAATTACTACACAATAACCTTCCAAGTACCAACAATCAAGATAACGACATCATCTTGTATTACAGAAATCACATGTCAACTGCATACAAGGTAGATGAAGCTATTCTTAAACATATCTTCAATAAAAATGTCACACCAACCCAAATAATAAAGTTAAACTCCGAATATATTACAACAATAAAAAGGCGTCTCACCTAATACTGAAAAACAACTGTAGTCCTAGAGATAACTCTGTGCTAAGGCGTAATCACGTAATATATGAATTTAATTGCCACTTTGACGGCTGTGCACGTCAACATGGCTCATATATCGGGATTACTACTACCTCATTGACTAGAAGGCTTACGATGCATAAACAGAGTGGTGCTATCAAATTTCATTTGGACTCAACACACTCAATCACTATAA